GCACCATAGGTACTAGAGACAAGAAGGGCAGCTCCAACGAAGTGGTCCTTGCGGGGGTCTTCGTGCGAGGGCCAGGATGTGGGTCCTAAAGAAACCGTGACAGCACCTCTGCTTGGCCACCGCGGCGTGAATATGGAATGGGGCTACATGGCCTAAACCTTAAACCCTCAACCCTGAACCCTAAACTACAGATTATTTGCTGTGGGGGCTGAGGCACGAGTTCGATGCCAGCAAGCGCCGGGCGTTGTTGTTCCCTGAAGAGCGCCATGTCTTGAGCTGTGGAACTTCTCAAGGGACATACATGTGCATCAGCCCCACCATACACAGGCCATGGATTAGGCTGTGCCTAAAGGGGGGATCTATAGGGGATCGGGGTTTGGATCCGGGATTGAAGGTGTAGACTGCGGCTGTGAACAAATCTGTGAAAGGAGTTCGGCCAAAGTCGCATGGCTAGCAAGATGTGCAACGACAGTGTGGTTGAAGAGTCCATTGGTTAAGAATTTGGGAGATGTATTCGTATTGCCAAGCTCAGAGCTTGTCACGTACCGGCTGCGTGTACGGAAGATCACAGAAACTCGGCCCCATCTCACTGGCTAGACTGGCTCCTGGAAGCAGCCCCACTGGAATTCAACTAACTGGAACATCGAAGATCGAACAGCATGCAGTTTAAGGCTTAGGCTTTAGGCTTAGGCGTTAGGCTCCATGGCATGGCGGCATCTCGAAGTTCTGGTGTGCGCTTGGTCCGTCCTCTCCACGTGGCCTGCTGTCGTGATCAGGGTCCCTTCTCGCCGAGAGCCCCAATATATCCCAATAAGGTACGGCAAGACTCCGGACCCACATGGCGCCGGAGAAGTCGTCGCTAGAAAGCGCGGGAGTTAACTGCCGGAAATATCTGCGAAGAACTGAAGCAAAGCTGAGGCTCTGGATGAGACGTGAATCTACCTGGGCAGCTCTGGAGACTGAGGCCCCTCTTTGTGCTGTCCGTCTACCAGCAATGCCTGTTAAAAGCAGACAGCTCACTCCGCAAGCCGGTCGTGCTCAGTGTCACGGCTCTGTTGAGGGTCACACCGACTTGAGGTCTGCATTTTGTGACAAATCCCTTTTGCAGCCGTGCCTTGTCAACGACAGTCAACAGCTAGGGTTTAGGGGTTATAGGTCTTAGGCAGCGGTACCAGCGTGCGAAGGACCAGGGACCTCATGGAAAGCATGGACCGCCCGAAGGTCAGGCATGCTACTCCAATGTGGTGACCGATTCTCCACGCATTTGCCACAAGAACCGCTGACGGGTCGTAAAGTTCCCGACACAGGCCTCTTCACGTTTAAGGTTTTTGTTTAGGGTTCAGGCCTCAAAGCATCGTCAACCTACGAACATGTATAATCTAGTAGCCTTCTTCCGGCAGGCTGTAAAACTTCCCTTGAAGGAGCCCCTAAACAGTAATGTCCTTAGACATCACCATCCCCTTCGTAAGCTTCGGAAAAAAGTAAAACAACGCCAAACCAGGAGAAGCACTGAGGATCTGGTCGATGCTCAGGGTGCATCCTGGGGAGCCTTCGGACTGTCTGCTGTGTCCTTCCGACGGTTTTTTAAGGGCTCCTTTGGAAGGTTCCCTTATCAGGGTTCCTTAAGGGTTCCATAGGTGGAATGTGTTGTGCGAGGCGGGCTGATTCTGTGAACTGCCCATGAGAATACACCTGCGGCAGCAAACTGTAGAGACTGAAAACCTTCGAATACATCAACAGCATGGAATGCCTGGGCTGTACGTCTTGCAACAAAATGGGAGATGCCAAGCAAGGTGCGGTGAAATGGCGACAAATGGGAAAGGTATGATAGTAAAAACCGTGTCGACAGTCTTGTGAGGAGAATGCGATGGCAAGCCAGCACCTGAAGAACCGTTGGCCGGAGACATCATGCAAATGTCAGTGGGGAGACTGACAAATCCAATCTTCATCGCATGCTTGTGTCGCTCAGGCTTCTGTGAAACGTTGGGCATCTTGGTCGCTTCACTGCTGAAACCGTGATTCCTCGAGTGAGCCTCACTACTGCGGTTGGCTGCCTCAGGTCTCCAAATGCTTATGAAATTGCAACGCCAGTGGGCACGAAGGCACCATGTAGATGAAATTTTGGAAGCATGGACTGTCGACTGCGGCTGAAGAGCTCCTGCCCGAACCATGCTGCCATAACAGCCTCCTTGGCGCGCAGTACTGTATATGCGGCGAAAACTGATCAAAATTGCACGCTGCTTTGCGTCTGGCCTGGAGCTGAGCCCGCACTGGCATCACTGGCGGATCTTCTGAGGGGCAATCTGCAACTGCATTGCTGGAAGCAACCTCCTGCACTTCAAGGGGCAGCGGCTTGCACGTGTCGAAACCTGACCGGTTTATGAATCATGGACTTAGAATTCCCGTGCAAGATCACGTTGTGCTGAGCACAGGGTGCGCCCCCGCCACTGCCAAGAAGCCGTCGGAGACCCGTCGCATGAACTAAATGCCACGTGCACGCATCTGGGTCTCCTGAACACTCATGCACGCTACATCTGCCCCGCCCGCTTTGCGCAGCTTCTGCCCAAAAAATTGGCGGGCGCAGATTACGGCCACAAGTGTCAGGAATCCCTGAAAAACAGACTCTCGAGGACACGCATCCTGAGCCAAACTGCAAGTCAGCAAGCAACATCAGGCAAGGTAGAAGTTGAAGTTGCTACACTGGGTCACCCGTCATGAACCCCTAAACCCTAAACCATCCTAAACCCAAACCCCCACAGCCCCTTCGCATGCTGATTCGATGCTACTGACCTCATAGCCACAGCTTAGCCTCATGACTGGCATGAGAACCTAACAAAGTTTGCGGAAAGTTGCAGTGTTCGAACCCAGCCTTTTTGCTCGGATGAGCCATTTGATAACGCAACGGTCTTCCCAAGAGGCAGCAATTGGCGCGTGGCTGCGAGGGACCTCAATCTCAAGTGAAATGTGAGTTGCTTAGGGTGAAGTGAGTATTAGGATTTATCGGGTCCGGGGTAGTTCTGATAGAGAGTTTAGGGTGCAGATTTCGGGTTGAGTATCGCGAACTAAACTATTGTGCACCCCATTCGTGGCCAAGGAGGGCGCAAAAGAACGAACATCGCCCATTTCTTGCTTGCAGCTTCGTAGCCGCCACTGGGAAGAGCGGCCATCGTAGCGACGTCATGGCTCTTTTTTTTGGCAAAGTGGCAATGCCGAAAGGCTTCCGGAAATCGCGGCGTGCCAAAGATCGACGCAACTAGATTGCCACTCGATGTTATCACTCCCTGTTTTTCTCTAAATTTACTAAACCTGAAAGGCAACAACCCTTAAACCTTAAACTCGCCTTCAAAAAACCCTCGGCCATCCTGGGCCCGAACATTCCGAACTCAAAAATCTCAAACTCTTGGGACTTGAATTTCAAGCCTCTTGAGGCCGCTGGGAGGAAGCATCTTGTCTTGTCTGGGTAGTAACTGTGGCCTCCCCAGAAGAGGACTGATCCAGTGCGGCCATGCGGCAGTGTCGATACAGGATGCTACTAAGCAAGCCCGACATGATATTCCCCCCTTGCTTCTTTCATGGTGACACATTTTGGGCTTGATGAGGAAAAGCGAGCGTTGCCGCTACCAAAGACAGCGCAAGCAAGCACAACAAGATATGCAACATGATCGTCGTGGAGGCAAGGGCTGCACTACCCGATGGAGAGTGTCAAGCGATCGAAGCGCTGCAGGGTAGGTTTAGAGCTATGTCATTGCTATCCCTGCATATCCCAGGGCTGCCGAGCCCCAACCAAAACATCAGCAGAACCGCATGCTTCCTGTGCTTGGGGGCGATCCTACACCTCCTAGGGGAAATGTGCCAAAGCGGAGATGGGCGGATGCTTCCCCGTGCACTAAGGATGCTTCCGGTATGCAATTAATCAGATTGGAGACTTAAGACTGAAAGGCTTCCCTGCCACATCTGCGACCTTTTCCCGAGGCTTGATCCTGGAAGCTTGCTGTGCGCAACAACTGAGCATCTCAGGAAACACACCACCCCCCCCCAGACTCGATTGTGGCAGCGCTGCAAGGCTGAGGGCGCTGGCATTGCCGATTTGTCGAAGCAGCTTCTAGACTTCTAGCCATCACCGGCATCAGAGACATCTGAACTCCTTGACACGCCCCCGATCACCATGAGGCCCGCCAACCAGACCAGCTGCTACTGCGTGGTGAAGAGTGAAGCGCATGCCGTTCTGCAGCTTCTTCGGCACGTGCCCGCCCAAGAAATCCTGGCAGCCTGCGAAGTGTCCTGATGCAGGAATAATCAGGCAGGTAAACATTACGTCGTTGATATGCATGCAAAACACAAGGGGTGTTTTGAGTGGAGGGAACCTTACAATTACCAAAGAACTTGTGTGTGAACTGTATCACTTGCGGATGTATTCTTGTGGTCCTGATTGCCCTCGAAGCTGTACTGGTTGTAAGACCTGGCACAATGAAATTGCAGTAGAAGCCTCTGCCCTGAACGGCTTCGAAGAAATTCAGACATGGCAGCGATGGCAGCGGTGGGCGGAGCCTGGAAGTGAAGCTTCACGAAAAGGTCGACATTCGGCCTTTCTGAAACCCCTTCCGCCCTTCTGCTTCTCTGTGGAAGTGTGCATTTTGCCGGTACAAGCTGCGCTGACCTGTAGCTTACACCCCGGTTCACAAACTATGCCCTATACGTTCAGGTCGGGGTTGTTCGTTATGCCCAGCTTTGTGAATACATGCCAATACTATGAACCCTGCAAACGAATGCCAAAACGGCTGTGCAGTTCTAGTGTGCAACTATGAACGTCGTCTCAACAAGTTTTGTGAAAATTTGAGGAATGTCTGGAGCCAAACAGTTTGCATGCTCTGCAGCATTTGGTGAGAGTTGGCGAGCCCCAGACCCGATACGTAACCAAAGCAACGGTGTGCCCTGAATCCTGGCGCAGCGAAATGCATCGGGTGCCTCTAGATTGCCAGCAAGTCACTCCAATGCCATCGTCAGGCCATTCCAGCCACCTCCCAGAGGCCGTTTAATATCTCACAACAAAATTTCGAAGGCAGCTGTTCAAGGTGATTTGAAATCTCATCCCGAAATATTACTTGTGACAAGAGCTTAGTACCTAAAAGTTCGACCAAGCCGTGTAGAAACTGTGCCTCTATCGATGTGAACGGGCGCTGCGATTCAATCCAAAGGGCTATGTGTTGTCGAAGTCCGAGCAGTGCAACGGTGAGAGGTTGTGTTGACATTGCCACGACAGTTGCTTCAATGCGGAAAGATTACAACTTGAGCCTTGCAACTTGCATGAAGCTGTCTTCTCGCCGATTTACAAACATCGCAGAAACGTAGCTGGGTGATCCAACTGATTTGGCCCCTGTGGCAATCGAACCTGGGTGCCGGATTCTTGAAACCCCCATCGAAAGCGTGCCAGAAGCCAGCTTGTCTTAAAAGCAAGTCTTTCTTGCAAGGCTTTATCTTCGCCTATGGTCTTGTTTACGGAAATCGCACTTGCTTTTCAAGTGATTTGCTTCTTGGAAGCGTCTTTCGTTGGTCTCTCGAATTTCCTCGTTTGTCTACCTCCGGCGGCTTCTGTGGGCGTTGCTGTGGCCACGCCTTTTTGTTTGACTGTTGCGGGAACCGCAAGTGCACGAAGTCGGCTTCCTCGATTAGTGCAGGCCTGAAGTCTTGATTCATGTAGCCAGGCGAACCTTCATCGATCACGAACCCCCACGATCAAGTCATAAAGGCTGCCCCAAGCGACTCCCAGGGCCTTCTCTGTCAGAGCTGCGAGATCTGCCGCCAGCTTTGGCTCTTTGCAGTGCTGGCGGGTCAGGCCGAGGGACAAGTCGTACCTTGCACTGCGAATCGTCTGAATGAGATGTTCGCATAAGAACTAGAATCCTCAGCCAACCTGCCGATGCGTGACTGCCAAGGTACAGTAATGCTTTGATCAAGGCCTATTCGGGGGGAGCACTTGTCCCAGACCATTGTGATTCCTTCCTTGAGCTCCTGGATACGCCTGGACCACAATAGACTTGCACGATTCGCGACTATAGGTTACTACTGTAAACATGGTGTAGAACAGCAGGGTTCTCTGCAAATAGGCATGCCTCCGTCATACACTTTTTTTGCGGATTCGGAGGCAACTGCAATCAGCCGCAGTCGAAACAACCGTGTGCTCTTTCGCGTCCACGAAAACTGCAGAGAAAGGAAAGATACAATGGCAGTAACATCGATGCGGGCCCCAAACCATCCAAGTCACACCTGTGTAACAAGTTCATCAGAGGTATGTCGTAAGTTCAGCTTAAATCATGCAACTTCATAGTGTCTGTACTCCGTAAGGTTTCTCGTGGCATCCCAAATTCTACCTCAGTTAAAGCCTAATGACATTCCGCATGGTTGAATGGAACTGTTGACACCCCGCATCATGCATGACGACCTTGCATCCATAAGTCGCCTCTGCGGTGTACACGGCGACTTCTGAGATCTTCAGCCAGTTCACACACAAAAGCGCTGCAAGCAAAAGATGCACTCAAGGCCAGATTTCTCGATGTGTCTGTCGAGACACCCAATTTCGAGCACACGTTGCACTGACAACTTGTTAAGAGAATGGGCCCACAAACGATGCACTTCTACTCCCGCTATGCGCCTTGTTTCGAGCGACGAAGTTTTGGAAGCCTGGCCGATGTGAAATTGACGAATGGCCGGCATCGCACCCTGTGAAGAGTTGGTCGCATCCGAGGCCTCGCACAAGGCACGCAGCACCTGGCCCTTGTCGAGGGTTCCTCGATGCTCCTGGCAGTTGGCAGCTTGCTGGATTCTTGCCACGGCTTCCCAGCAGAGGTTCGTGGCATGCCGGAGCTCACGCTGAGAAATCGCTTCGCACTGATATAGATTATTTTTAATAATTCCGACGATAATATGACCACGTTATCTTCTTGCTGGATCCCAAATTCCCATCCCTGCAATGTCAAATTTCAAGACAGGTGAGATCATCATAAGCCTCTCCCCGTAAAGCCCCTGGCGTCCACCGCAATACCGAGCTTCCCGCGGTTTTGCTTGCTGGTTTGGGCCCAGCGAAATTCGAGATCGAACACAAATGGGTACCGAGCGTCTCTCTATGCTTCACGATTGTTAGGGCCGTCTCACTACGAACGCCCGCTGACAGAACGGAGAGAACTGATCGACGGAAGGGGTCACTTGTCAGCATCATTCAGCATCCCCCAAAAAAATCCTGGTAAGCACCTGACAAAAACCATGCAATACCTTCCAACAAGGTCTGGTCCCCGCCATTTGACATCACCCACGGCAGCCGCTGTCTCTGAACCACACAGGTCGGTCTCGTAGCGGGCCTTTGAGACCCCTGCGCAACTTGTAAGGTTGAGCTCACGTGCCTTCGGTCTGGCGCAAGCGGGAAAGGCCCCATTCATGGTCTCGGGTCCCGGCCTGCTACCCCCCTGGTCCCCCTTTCCAGGGCTGTCTGCGACAACAGTGCCATGGTTGGGACCACGATCGTCGTGACAGTCCATGTATTCGGAGGACGGGATCTCGATGTCAAACCACCAATTATCGCTGGGATTGACATTTTTGGTCATGCGGGGCAACTTCCCATCTCGAACATGGCATAAGCAGCTGGCACGATATCGTGCTTTGCCTCATTGTCTTTATTTTTGCAGGGGCAGGTTGCAAAACACGGTTCGCACCGGAACAGAACCCACCACTCAAGCCACCGGGGAGGAGGCGTCGGATGTTAATGCAATGCTCCGCGAGTGCACCAAAGCTACGGCTATATCACAGCGACAGAGGCACTATCGGCAACGGAAAACAAGGAAAACCGCTACCTCCAGTGTAGTAGCAATCGCGATAAGGATGACAATACAAAAATCGACAAATAGCTGTAAGCATACCCGTGCAGGTTTGCTGGCTGCTGAGTAGCCAATCCAATGTACAGCATTCGGCAAGTCAGCCAAGATTTCAGCTTCTGCTTGGTGGCATGCTGGGCACTTAGAGAGGGTCGGTGTTCCTGCATACCTTAACAAATGGCGAACACCAGAGGCACCACCACAGGGGGGAGCGGGGGGGAGACAAAGAAGCCAAGAGACCAGGAGCCCAAGCAACACGCAACACCACAAACACCAGGGCCTCAGGGGGGAGCGGATCGTAGTTCGCGTTGTGCTTCGTAAGCACGGAACTCGCGGAGTTCAGCGTGGAGGTTGAGGACGCGTGTTCACCGTCGGGCTCGAAGGCTGCACGGCAAGCCCTGGACAGGGCCGATGCAGCCCAAATGCTTGGATGGTCCACTGAAAAGGCTGCCCCCCCGACCCTGTCCAAGGCAAGCCCCAGCCGGAAGACGGCACAACGACCAGATCCAAAGCGCTCGCTCGCTCGCTTTGTCTCAGTCTCAGTCCCGCTCTCTCGGTGTTGGCTGCGGAATCGTAGGACTGCAGTCGCTGCCCGAGAACTGCAGGTTGCAACAACCGCAGGAACGTAGCACTGAAGGGTATGCGGCCTGCCAAAGTAAGGGTTTATAGTGTTTAGGACCAAACACTCGCAATGGGAACACTCAAAGTATTGCGCCCTAATATTAACATGTGTGACAAACGAGGGTATTTTATGTTGGGGCATCATCCTGGTTTGACACATGTTTGCCACCGGCCGCGCAAATTATTACCTTGTTGAGTGGGCTGTCTTTTCCAGCACGCAAACCTCTAAGGATTTCCAGCCGTTATGCGACGAAGAGGTTCTTGAAAGTGTACACACACACACAGGACCTCCTGCACAGACACAGAACAATTGTGAGGGATACGAATCCAGCAAAGCTTGCTCTTCGGCTTATCCTGGATATGATTGATGACGCGCCGATGCTGCTGGGGGCAGGACGACATCCCAATGCCGAAACCAGTCTTGGAGGTCATCTGCCGGCAACCTGGCCGCGAAGCGACAGACGACAGGACGTTGTAGCTAACCGATCCGAAAACTCTTGCGGAGGTGAAATACTCGGGCAAAAGACTGTTCCACAGTCTACCAATGGCCTGGCCCGAACTCCGTCACAAGAGCAGAAAGGCAACAGAGGTGTTGAGCACATCAAACTGCTTGATTTGGCGAAGATTCTTTTCGCTTGGCATTTCTTATGAGTTTCGAAAACCGTTTTTAGGTCATCTTTTTAGGATGTGCATGTTGTGCATAGTCCCTGGCAGTCATCCGCGATCTGGCGTGAAAGCCAACTTCTCGCAGCACGTCCTTGCTCTCAGGAAGTCACTCGCCGTGCGATGTATGAGGCTTTTACAGCCTTCCACCTCGTCGCTCACAGATTTGTGTCTTCTTTGGCACTCTATGACCAGTTTGACTCAGTCTGGAATCTACGGCCTAGGGGGAACCGAGGACCTCCGATTAGCTTTGAGAGAACACTTGCAAAACACGTGCTCTCGGCCAGTGTTTCACCCCGCAATTGATTATGTACAAACACATAAACACAGATGAACATGCTTCAAAAGTGATTAGTGTACCTAAAAATTTCTTAAAATCTCCAGAACATCACGCCCTAAATGCCGGTCAAGCATCCCTGTTCGTGCGAATTCAGGGCATGTCGTGCAGTGGTCGCAGTTCCGGGAGAATATTTTTTTATATTTCTAGCAGCTCGAATTCCTGCCGCGTGTTTTCAATTTCTTCCTTTGGATTCTGGCCTGGGAATTACACACTTTGCAGTAAAGATGATGCTGTGATGTGATGCTGATTCTTTGGCCGAGGTCTGCCGATTTCGAACCCCGTAGAAACTGCAAGGAGTCCCATGCGCTGGGCGATTGAAACTTGCCGTGCCGCCAGCCCACATCTGCATGGTGACGAAGAGCTTAACCCCTGCTCAGAAGCACATGCCAGAGCCGCGAAGGCGCAGCTCCCCGCTTCGCGGTGTTAGCGAGGTCATGCTGATGTGCACGGATCCTTGGAGTGTGGAGATTCGTTGTACACGATACCTACACAAGTGTGACCTGCAGACGCTTGAAGCTATGTGAGCTCCGCCCTCGGATACCCTAGAAGCATGCTAGGGTGCTTTCGACACGACGCTTGGAGGACTTCAGGCAAACTTGTGGTGGCAGTCTGCACTCCAAGCGTTGCGCCATTCCAGAAGGCCTCCTTTCGAAAAGAAGTCGTTCTCCGTGACATGACCCTGCTCTGGGTTGTCTCATGCACGCCAATGCACGCAGGCAGAGATCATGTCGTGGTGACTTGGCAATGCGGTGCAGTGCCGTGATTGAATGAAGTCGTTTCGTCCAGCTGCAGCAAACACAGCGGCTTCGTCAAGCAATTGATGTCACTGGCCTGACCCTCATGACAGTCAGATGGAAAAATAATCTGGCACTACCAGATCATGCATGTTGGATAGTGTTGGAGCAAGACCACTGTCACGCTGACTTAGATCCACAACCATCACAAGATGTCAACAACGATGACATCCGGACCTTGGCCCAAGCTGCCCACCTTGGCTCACAGGAAACTCTTCGTCTTCGCGTCTCAATGATAAAGACGTCCAGATAAAATGCATACACAAGCGGACTAACGATATCTGACGATAAAATTCAAGGCGTGAAGCCAGCGTAGAAAACGGAGAGCCTCCGGAACACTAAACTGGCAGACTGGAGTCTTCAGTGGATCCAAAGGTCTTTGTGCAATCGACCTTCGCTGCCACGTGGCAAAGAGAACTCTGTGCGATGTATCTGTGCTTTGTTGGCGTCTCAAAAACCGAGCCCGAAGCCCGCCAGCGATGGACTCGTGAAGGCGTTCCGTGTCGATGGGGAGCATTGCCTACGGAGACAGGGAGTTCGAGGGTCTTGAAGCCTTGCGGGCTGCGGAATGTTGTGGCATACATTTTGTGACACGGAATTGTTGGCGACTGGGCGAGCCAGCACGCAGCTTCTACAGGTGATGCTAAACGTCTCTCAGTTCAAGAGCACCGAACTTGCCTGAACTCTGCAGCTGACAAGCTCCCTTGGCATTGGCCACAAAGCCCGATAATTACACTCATCTCATCGCGTGCAGAGCAGCTGCCAGCCTCCAATGCCTGAACTGCCATGTTTTGGTCAATCTGCCCTGGCACATTTCGACCCCCAAAACGTGAGTGCGGCTGTGGCACGGCTCTGTGGGAGCCATGCTTCAGAATTAAATTGAAGGACACAAAATTCCTTGAGACTTCTGCTCAAGTCGTCCGACGAGTCGTGATAGTTATGAAAGATGAGACTTTCGGCGACGGTCGTTCTTTCTAGCAAACCGTGGCCGACGTTTACATGCACTGCTGATGATGGTGTTGCAGACTTCCGTTAGCCTCAAGTTAACTCAAAGTGTCCCCTGAAGCCCTGCCCCAAAATCGACAATGCCAGGCCAGAGAACCGGATCGATTCACATCCAGAAACTGAAACCTCAGCCAAGCTGGAGTGCACAACTGTTTGGAGGATGGATGGAATTCGATGTTGCAGCCTTAGAGTAAAAAACTACGGCATCAACTCTGGATCCTGCAACATGTTTCTCGAGGTTCAATGCTAAGATAAATTGGCTAGGCTAGGTTTTGGCTGGGCCTCATCCAATCAAGAAAGGCGTGCTTGGGAGCTTGCGTGCCCGCTCTGAACCTACGACTAGACACGGCTTTCCCACTAGCGCGCTGCTGGCATGATTCTATCGATACCGGCCAGGGGACAGAGGGGACACACTAGACTAGAGACCCAGCAAATCCAGCGCGAAACCTTCCAAGAACCTCTCTGTCCTCAATCCTCAATGGCCTTTTTGGCGAGGGCCCAGCCACAGCCTTGGATTGACGGCAATGTCGGGCATGGGCATGACCTGAAAAGCTGGTCCACAAGAATAAGCATTGGGTGAAGTCTGACTCTTGCGAAGGCCGGCCACCGTTACTAAATCCCTGGAACCTTATGCCAGATTCATTTGCTGAGCAATCATCGTATCTTCCCACCGCGATTGATACTGGGCCTTTCGTGAATCCCAGCACTGCTCTTCCGAACAACGACCGATCTTCCGATCCATCCCGGACATTGTTGGATTGTGCGCATGCTCTCTGCTCCAAAGGTCGACCGGGCACAAGGGGGTGCTTCGGAACTTTGCATCATGCCTGCGGCCTACGGCATTTCCTTTGTCAGGATTGGAGAATGATTGTATGTACTGCTGCCGCTGCCTGCCGTGCTTGCTCCGGGCTCTGAACTGCGGCATGCATACAGAAGAATGAGCTTGTGAGCTTGTCTGCTGCGAGCCTTGAAGCTGGCAAACCTTCCTTGAGATGGCACGGTGATGGGCCCATAGCCGACCACAATGCTTGAATCAGTCTGCAGAAAGGGGCCTCCGAGCAATCCCTTCCAGATGATGCAGGTGCCGCAGCACGAACCCAAATCGACAAAGATTCAAGTCCAATCAGCGAAGGTATCCTTGACAGTCAAACCTCTGCGATTGTGCTTTGTGCACAAATAAGACGGCCTCGTGAGCTGTGGCGCGACAAGTCGGGCAGAAGTACTCGTTTGCCTGCGCCTGCTGCTGCTTCATGTACCTCGCATCAGAACTGAATCAGAACTCTCCACCTGTGCAGGGGTGCTACAACGAAGAGCTGGAAGGAACTACTCCCTGCCCACAATCAGGCAAGGTCCGATCTCGAGATATCGTTTTTTATTACAGAACCGGTAACCCCGATCCCCGAAGTTCGCAGAGGCACTGCTGGCTGGCACAGTCAAAGCAGAAGAAATGCGCGCAAATCACATGGAAGACGCTCTGCCCGCCACCTGCGTCGAGACTCTTGTCAATTGCGGAACCCGAAACATCCCCAAACCCAAGCCCTGAGCAACAAAAACCGGCAATCTCGCACTCACAGGTGTGTCTGGCCGTCTCAAAGCAGGCTGATCGCCCGGACTTTTCCAATTCTTCCTACCGACGCTGTATTCTTGTTCTCTCTTTATGGCACTGGGGAGCTGCAGAGACTCTTGTGCTTTAACTGAAAGTCGGCTTGCTCGAGACGCTCATATGCAGCGCCCAAGAAAAGACGAGTTATCTGGATGCTTTTGCAAGCCGACTTCGATTCTTGCTGCATGGAGGCCTGCAACAGCTGCAACAGCACGTGAACCCAGCCGGCCCCGAACTGCGCCTAGCTTGCTTGCCCTGGGCGTGCCGAAGTTCAACTCCAAAGCAAAGAGACGAAAAACAAACCACACTGAAGCTTGTCCTTTTCTTCACGCTGCCGAAGGTCATTCTGGCTCAGAAAAAGCAGCGCTTGATGCAAGCTTCTCCTGGGCCACCGACCTCACAAACAGCTGCAAGCTTCTCAAGACTATGCTGTTCGTCATGCCACAGCGAAGAACGTGCAGAAAGAACGAACAAGCAAAAGCAAAGTGAGTGCTTTAGCTACTACATCCTTTACATGCTTTTGATGAAGATCAGTCGAGAATTGCGTGCAACCTGTTACCGAACATGAGTTTGACAAGGGTGTGACAAACCTTGTTGAATCATGTGCATTACCATACGGCTTACGGTCAGAATACGGGGTACCTTACTGTACAGCTCACTCAGCACCTATTTTTGAGGGGAGTGCAAAACTCGCAAAGCCCGTTGGGATGCATGTGGCGGTCTATCTTCGCGGTGAAGGCCGGGGAATGCAAAAAACCTACAAGAATTTGCGAGTACCTCCTGCCCGCATGGCTCATCATCACTTAGCAAACTGTTAGCATGTGTTGCTAGGACGAAGATTCACAGCTCACTCAGCTTGAGTTGGCCAAAGCCCGATCCCATCCCCCAGCGGTTGCGCCTTTGCGCGCGCCAGCTCGTTTTGAGCCAGCTCCATCTTAGTGTTTGGGCGCTAGAAGTGGGCACTCCAGACAGCATCGGAAGGGGGCGGCAACGAAGAATCCGTCCCAACACTTTGGACCTCTAACGTGATTGTCTCCGGGTCAATGTGCTCAATAGCAAGCTGAGTCAGAAACGTTCAAGATCCGGAGGGACCGTATCTTCACAACACCTGGTGATTCGCAGGTGCAAGGGTTGAGGAGTGATGCTCCCTGGGCCAGACCGGATCAAGAAGACTTCTCTGCGGGCAACTACACAGATTGAACCAGAGTAAAGCTCTTGGCAGGTCCGACTGCAGATGATCCATAAGGCCCCAGGCGCACATCAGCAAGATTCTCCGAGGCCCCGCCTTCGCCAACCTCGCATGGGCCGCCGAAGCCTTTCTGTGGCCCTTCCTGAATCTGAAGATGTGAATTTCAGCATCTGCTTACTACTTCACCGCAACTAAAGACAGGGACGCAAAATGCGGCGGACCCAGCATGATGAACTGGTTTTTGGTTTCACTGATAGGACGGATGCAGCAGAGCGTACATGAAACACAAGTACTGTCCTCCTCCTCGGTGACGCGGAAGAAAGGTTCCAGCAGCTCCAGGAAGCTGTCAATGTCGGGCTCGTATTCAGGATACCTTGATGCATGGGTACTTCAGTTTCGTTTTCTGCCTCTCTCCCTCTACCTGCTCTCCCCTTCGCTATGGGTGCATTTGGGATTTCTGAGCAATGTGCGGAACGGCTTCTGATCTGACGACCTGCGAAATCCTGCAAAGATGGCGCACGGACTCTACAGTGTGACGAGACATCTTGGGCTTTGTGAAGCCAGGGTGGAGAACTGGCAACGTGAAGTAAATACATTTCAAGCAAAGTTGCTTGTCGCAGTTCGCCCAGAGCACCAGTGTATCCTCCTTGGTTGAGGTCTTTGGCTCCGCGTCTTAAGTCGGGCCAGCAATTCAGCCCCTTCAACATTAGTAAGTTTTTCCAGCCCAAAAGGAGCCTGAATCATCTTAAGTTCCTGCAGTTGCAAGGGTGCAGTGAACCCGAAAAAATCGACCAGCTGGCTGCCGAACATCAGTTGGTCAGCGCCGTCACCGTGACGGAACAAAGACTTTCCAGACCCTGGTTCATACACCGGCTTAAACCTCGAAATCAGAGCGTTGGCCTGTGTGAGCCGACTGCTGGGTGCCCCAGCGGTGCAAAGGTAAAGCAGGGTGTTCAACAAAGGGCGGCGAAGATGTGGAAAATACACGACCTCGGCACCATTCCCCGAGCTCCCTGACACGAGTGCCCATATCTTCATTCGCGCAGGACCAAAACTGAACGGACTAGGGCCAAGGGCGACTGCTGCTGGTCCTAGCTGCCCCTGGACCTTCTTTCGCCTTTACTCTCTCGCCTCGGAACCTTCAAAAAACCTCCAAAGGGTCTCATGTCCGTCGCTGGAGGTGCCTGAAGCCTGTCCTCAAGCTCTGTCTCATGTCAGTTCTGTGAGCTTAAACTGTGTTCGCAAAGCCTTCAGCATTCCATCGCGAGTCTGACAAAGTCACACCTTTCAATCCAAACCGTAATCGAAGATGTGCACTGCCCTCTATCGAGGTGGTGCGCCTTTTGGCACCCGCTTGCTACGAATGGAGCTGCCTTTTACGGCTTGGGGGTGTTCAGCGGATGAGCTACATGCGAGGTTCTTGCTGCAAGCTTTATGAGAGCCTATGCGGAATAGGGCTTGGTCTTGAAGCCAACTGACAGCTACTTGCTGCAACAGTGGCATCGCTCATGAGAATCAGGTCGGAATGGCCTTGGCGATGGTGCTTTCGGCTGAGCTGATAGACATTTCGACAATCTGCGACTGTCGTTACTGGACTTCTGTTGACGTTTTCGGCTCCAGGAGGAGAACTGATGCTGGCCTGGTCTGAAAGCCGACTCGGTAAACTCCAGATCGACCCAGTCAAGAACCTGCCAGGCAGTTGTCCAAAACAGTTGACTCGGACCAGCCACTATTGTGCTTGAACGAAGCACTGCCCAAAGTTCTCCGTCTTGAAGGAACCTTTGGCTCAACAGTAACAGCAGCGGGCAGAGGGCATAGGGGGAGTTCACCCAGCACGTAGGCAGCGGCGTGGAGAGTACACAAAGCTGCACAAAGCAAGGCTTCAGCCAGGACAGGCGAGATCGAAAGCAACTTCTTTGCATCATCCGTTCCAGACCCTTCCTCACTTGTCTGGCCTCATTTGCCAATACTGTAGGCCTTGAGTCTCAAACACTATGAAATGCATGCTGCACACTTCCTTGACTTTGTCGTCATTACCGCAAGCCGGCGAGTGTTTGAGTTGTTGTACCGTGGTGGGCCTGAAGGATCCAGGCCGACGCGGGACTTTGCAAGCCACCGCTGGAGGGATGTGTTTGGGTTTGAATTTAATTGAGGTGCAAGTTCATGAAGTTTGTGAGCCAACCTACTATGTCGGGTAAGGATAGGACACGGAGCAGTCTGGGCAGTGGTCACCACTTTGTCAGGAGTTCTTGCTCAGACCTTTGCAGCCGTGGATTCTCTCATGAATCCAAAGTCTTAATCCAAAACCCGGGTCCAAGTCGTAGAATGGAGGAGTAGCGAGAAAGCCGTCAATGGTCACCGAGCGGGCTTTGATGCTGGGAACACCAAAAGCCTTGCCTTTCGGAGATGATGTTTCGATCAGTGCGTGTGGCTTCAGCCATCGTTGGATCTCCACAAAGGTGATAAAGCACCACGACGCCCATGACTACCACGAGGACCACCAGGACGACATCGTGGCCAGGAAGACCCAGAACGACACCCAGGTACTGGCGAAAGTTAGCGCGTCACGACATGAAGTGGAGGACAGCCCGACTGGGACTGTGTAGATAATCATGGGACATGCGCCCAAAATGCGCACCCGCATCACAGCTGGAGCCGCTTCCCAGCATGGGCACGTGCGGTGAGCCTCGCATGAAAGCCAACCAATTCCATCACTCTTGACCCGAATGAATTGACTTGGCCTTAGCTTGAACAGTGTTTGGGAACTTCACGCCAACCATAAACATCCATAAACTGTCACTCCCTGCTTCGTCTGCCCCACCCGGCGGCCTTTGCCATCACGCGGGGCCTGCAAACGAAGCGTCACAACATGTCACAACATGGCGCGAAGGTTAACCTAAAGGGACCCCAAAAAACGAAGCACTGTTTATGGCAGTACGTGCCGACGATTTTCTCCTGGAAACTAAGTCGAGAAGTGTGCGGCATGCGGGTCTCACGTTTTCCAAAGTTAAGCTTCGCAAAGTTGCACAGCGAAAGGAAGGTGTCCTCTTCTGAGGCCTTTGCTCGGCTTCCATGTTTTGGTATGCGAAGTCGATGTTGGCCTCGGTCATTACGAGGACTCATGATATTGCCAGAAAATATGAAGTGACTGTGAAGCGCATGTGGTCGATGCTCTGCTGCAATAGGCTATCTTCTTGCCTCTCCGGCGAATCGTCCTGAGACCTTGCAATCACCTGCATACCACCCCAGCCGCTTGCTTCCCCTCTGTCTGCAGCACAAGCAGCATGGAGCTCTTCGAGAACCTCGAGCCTGTCCGTCAAGTCTACCTGTGCGGCAGTGTCTGTGCTTCGAGCCCTGCATGTACCTGATATTGCAAAGGCGCATGGCTTGGAGAGCGGAATCTCGAATTCCGCAGTCGTCTGCATAACAGAAGCTACGCCGTGAACCTATAGATGCTGCACATCTAAATCTAAGCATGCTACGGCTTTGCAAATGAATGTCAAGCAAGGATAACAATCAGACGGAGATGGGGCACGATGGGACCAAGATCAAGAACCGGCACCAGCACCCAAAGACGCAATGTCCTTCATGAGCAGTGACAAAGCTTCACCACATGGTGGCTGGCAGCAGCAGCAGCAGTTGCAGTAGCCGTAACAGTACCTGCACTAGTACCAGTAGTATTAACAATAATAG